CTGCATCTTAGCGGATAAATGGGCTGTTGAACCTATGGACTTATGTCTAGGAGCTTTCGTCACGTGTAGGTCCACCTGTAGAACTGAAAGAACAATTGTTTAGGCACCTACAGCTTTTTAAAATCAAATTTGATTAATTCTTGCGCACGGAAAACAAGTAAATCATCAGCTACAGAAATGTGAATTAACTGACTCACGTCCCAAGGCGAGGATGTAATTGGGTGTGGCTGAGCGCAGGTTGGCGTATCAATGGCTCCAAAATAATCCCCCCGCGGTTGGTAATTAATGACAGCGTCTGCTGTGAAAGGTAAAATGTTGGTTTCTCCTTAGATGCGGCCGCTTGTCCTGTAATACTGTGATCACCTATGGATCTAATGGTATGTAAAAGCGTAGGTTCTCGTAGGGTTTCGCCACAAGGTATCTGATGAAATAGCGAAGTCTGATAGCAGAGATAAAAAATAAAAAGAATTTGGCAAACTTTCAGATTTCAGCAGAAAGCATAGCCCCTGTTTTGACCGCCTTCCACTTGAACTGTGATTTTTTTAACGATCAATCAGCTTCAATAAGATTCTGCATTTTTAGGCCTTTAAACTGATCGATATACACAAAATGCAAAGGAACGGTTCTACTTTGTAAAGTATCGTCTTCAACGGAAAATAACAAGTGACTTGACTAGGATTACACATGCTTTGTAAGATTTCAAACATTAGGAATTAATTATATGTGCTACGATTCACTTAAACGAGCTTAGATCTTTCGAGATGTCCAAATATGCAATAGAGCAGAGACCAAAGCTTTGATAAATCATAGTTTTCATAAGCAGTAACTTTGGTATGCACTTGACTAAACTAGTTCCATACCCTTTTGAAATTAAATCTCCTTTTTGGTTGTTTGCCTATTGAAGGATTTAAGCATGAATATTAGATGTAGAACAAATGTCCTTCAGAACTGAAGATAAAAACAATAATTGATGATGGCGGGTAATAATAAAGGCAAATATAAAAATCTTCGGCCTCGCAGGAGTAGGATCGATGAAGAAATGATTCGTGAATTATGGACCCGTGGTGCTATCTATCGATCTCTCTTGGCCAAAATGGTAGATCAATCCGGCAAAGTCAAACTTAGGAAAGAGCAATATAAAAAAGAACAACATTGACATTAAAAGGGAAGGAATTCATTGATATACGAGTCGAGAATTTTGCTATTGGGTATGGAAGAAGGAGAAAAGAAAAAAAAGCAAAAGGAACCAAATCTACGGGTTAGATTTTTGC